GGTACCCGCAGCTAGTATTAGATATATATGCACACACACACACACACAGCTAATACAGTGTATACGCGCATTACATACATTGTATAAATCGACAAAATGATGACTTACGCGTACGTCGTCATTTTCCTAAGTCGACACCAATATGCTGGTCCCAAAAGTGTCGGCTTATGCAAGTTTTACTGTACTTTCTATTTCATGCAAACAAGTGACAGATCCAGGGGGCAGGAGACCCCCCCCCCCTATTTTTGAACAAACACATACATAGAAGCAAAGATCGTGTACAATTGTACATGATCTTTAATAGAAGTGAGTGGCCTTGTCGGTCTGTGCTCCCTTTTTTTTTAATCAAAACTGGACTCCGACTCGGACTCGGGTGGTGTGGACTCAGACTCGGACTCGGACTCGGGTGGCGCGGACTCGGACTCGGGGGGTGCGGACTCGACTACAACACTGATGCACGTACGGACGCACGCAGGGACGAACGTATGGATATATATACTGTGTAGGATTTATTGATATGTTATATTATTCCTTGTGTGAGAATCGTCCGCGTGTATCTCTATAGTTTGTCTTCGTGCGTGCAGGAGACTTGGTGGCTGTGTTATACACTGGCGCGACTGATCACAGCTGGCAGGTCGAGGATGGCGCCGTCTACAGCTTTGCACCATTTACGACGTGGGTGCCCGTCTATACGGCTGAGACTGCACCCGCTCAGCTGCAAGCGGTGCTATCCGTGCAGCACAACCACCACAGAGATGCAGTCACCTTGCTCTATCAGACAAATGTACGTTCAGACAAATCAACAGTCGCACGTAAGCTAGGCTCAGTCACTGCCAACGAAACCAATCCGCCCCCACATGGACATGCTACAACACCTATATATAACCCCCTATATATCTATCATATCAGGAGTATATGAGACAAACATATTAATTATCATTAATAATTATTTTACATGATCTATATATATGTATATATATATATATATACATATATAAATCATATAAAATAATTAATAATGATAATTAATATGTTTGATATATAGATATGATCAAGAGTTAATGAGACAAATTTATTTGTCTCATTATCTCCTGATATGATAGATATATAGTATATATATCGGTATGATAGTATAAATATATATATATATATATATATATATATATATATATAAAGATATATATGTTTGAATAAACGCGTGCCATATTTCTGCTCCTATGACTGGTGATGGAAGCTGTGTATCAATTAGCCAATTAAATTATTGCAGCACCAAACCATGGCTTGATGGTGGGCACGTAACATGAGGTTCTTCAGCATTGCTTCTGCTAGTGCGAGCTTCCAAGCTTCACTCTGACAATTTAAGGTTTTGCCATATTAGTTGGTGACTCTTGGTCAGGGATTGTACAACTCACAAACACATTCCTCCAGTTGCTAAACACATGTCTCTTTTTTGTCACATCCTATATATTTAGACACACACGATTATCACAATAATAAATATGTATCTCTTGCAGTGTCACAAATAATTGAATTTAAATTTTAAGTTTTGTGATAAATTCTTATCCAATCAGTGGCTTTGTGATAGAAAAATGCCAAGTTTCTAATATTGTCTGTTTTATCGTAGCTGCGATGTGTCAACCGTTTATTCTCCTATGTTAGCATTACTCGTGACAATGCTTATAGCATCTTAATTCGTAACATTATGATGTTTTTGATAACGAGATTCAGGGATCGAAACCTGCATAGCGGACGGACACAGAATATTTTAATTATACACATTTTACAATAATTAACTCGACGTGTGTAGTAGAAAAACCTGTATGCTTGCAGTTTTGTTAAGCACATTGTGATCACACATCAAGTGACGGGTATATAATGAGACGATCGATGTCCCCATGTATTTGGGCCAAGAAAATGAATTAAAAGGTCATAATCTTTTACAGGCTTTTTTATACCGTGGATACGCTCTTATATTTAACTGTAGGAGGGAAAGAGGCATGTGGCAGTTAGACAGCTGGACAGCGTAGGAAATTTATCCAAAAAGGTCTTCTTCCCGCCCTTCTCGTTCCCGGATGGCAGTTTGATTAGTACGCTCACCTTTAATCCAACCTCCAACGACCTCTACGCTACAGGATCGGAGGTATATGTGCAACCAGTTCTAAAAGTCGTAAACTGGTTGATCGGCGTGTATGTGCGTGTGTGTGTGTGTGTGTGTGTGTGCGTGCGTGCGTGCGTGCGTGCGTGCGTGCGTGCGTGCGTGCGTGCGTGCGTGCGTGCGTGCGTACGTCGTGCGTGCGTCGCGTGTGTGTTTAGTGCGTTGTGTGTGTGTGTGTCGCGCGTCGCGTGTAGTGGTGGTGGGTGGTGTAAGTAGTTAGTGGGTT